GTGTTTTTTTTATTTCGGGTAAAATAAATATATTTATATTTGTTATAAAGGGATCAGGCAAACGCATGCAACGAGGAAAAGCAGAAAGAATAAGGTTTTTTAGTTGTATACAGTTAAGAGGAAGAGCATCAATAAGAGAGAAAAAATAAATACAAAGAAACTCAGGGAAGTCATGGAGCAGCACAAGCAGCAGCCGCAGCGTCCCTCTATATAAAAACCGAATATATTTATTTAGTTTTATTTTTATTATAAAAGGACGCAAAAACACAAACCAACTCACTAATATATCTTTCAATAAACCCCAATATCTTCTGTCTCTTCCTAGTCTAGGTAGCAGCATATGATCCCCAATAAGAGACAAATAAACAAAAGCAAATGAAGGAACCCTCAAAGGAGACAATAAAAGTATACGGCTTGTTAGGGTGTACAGACACTGCGATGATTGTTTTGTCTCTTCTCCCCCTTCCTCATTCTCCACTACTAACTCTTTTAATAATAATAAAAATATACGATAGTAGGCACGCTGATATATACTCATACGCCAACTGCTGCTGCTGCTGCTGCTGCTGCTGCTGTCTCCTGCTGCTGCTGCTGCTGCTATAGCTGCTGCTGCTGCTGCCGTTTCTTCTCCTGCTGCACTCGTTCCTGCTGCTGCAGCACCCCCTCCTGCTGCTGCTGCACTACCACCACCACTACCACTACCACCACCAGCAGCAGCAGCAGCAGGAGCAGCAGCAGCACCAGCAGCAGCAGGAGGAAGAGTTTCAGCTTCTTCATGTATAGCTCTACATATAATACCTGTTGCTCGTTGCAGTATAGTAACAGGAGAAATTTGTTGGGGGTCAACAAGAGCCATCATTCCGGCTATTAGTTTTACAAAACCATCGATGCTTACGACATTCATTTCATTTATTTCTATTGGTTGCTGCTGAACACGATCCAGTTGCTGCTGCTGCTGCTGCACCTGCTGCTGCTGCTGATGGGGTTGCTGTTGATGGGGTTGTTGTTGGGGGGATGCGGATGATGTTGTACCCTCAGAAGAAACTCCTCCTCCTGCTGCTGCTGGGGTTCCTGCTGCTGCTGCTGCTGCTGTTGCTGCTGTTGCTGCTGCTGCAGCAGAAGTAAGAGGAGCGATAGCATCAGCAACAGCTAGCTTGAGAGAAACAGCAAAAAATCTATCTGTGTTTCCATCCATGCGCAGCAATCCCTGGTGAGAGATACGCTGAAAGAATGTAGCTCTGACAACAAAACTTCTTTCTGCTGCTGCTGCTGCTGCTGCTGCTGCTGCTGCACCACCACCTGATGTTGCTGCACAAAGTAATAACCAATCACGAAACACCTTCTCAACCAGCTGCTGCTGCTGCGGTGACACACGAGGAAGACATGCTAGCTGACGTACTATAGGCTGCTGCTGCTGCTGCTGCTGCTGCTGCTGCTGCTGCATCAATGCTAACAAACTGTACACTGGCGGATCCTCCTGCACAAGCACCAACACACACACCACCAACCCACAATCAGCAGCAGCAGCAGCAGCAGCAAGGGCAGCAGCAAGAGCAGCAGCAAGAGCAGCAGCAGCAGCAGCAAGAGCAGCAGCAACAGCAGCAGCAACAGCAGCAGCAAGAGCAGCAGCAGCAGCAGCAACACAAGCAATGCTACAACAGAAAACAGTACCCACAACAACAGCAACAGCAGCAGCACCAACAGCAGCAGCACAACGACAACTAGCAGCAAGAACAGCAACAGCAGCACTACCAGCACCAGCAGCAGCAGCAGCAGCAGCAGCAGCAGCAGCAGCAGCAGCGATATATTACTTGTGTTTGTTCTGTTTTGAATGCCTCCATGAGTCTGTTTCTGGTGTCTTCTAGCTGCTGCTGCTGCTGCGTGAGTTGTGCTGCAGCAATAGCAGCAATAGTATGAGGCCAGTCTTTGCTGCTGCAGCATTGCTGCTCCTGCAGCAGCCGCAGCAGCGAAAGAGAAAACTCAAAGAAACCCCCTTGTCTTATATTTCTTTGTATTTCTGCTGCTAGATATGCATCGACATCTGCTGCTGCAACAAGTCTATAACGAATCAGAACAGCAGCAACAGCAACACTGCTGCGGCGGCTAGCTGATTGTGCTGCTGCTGCTGCTGCTGCTGCTGCTGCTGGACTTGTATTTCCTCCTCCTGCTGCTGCTGCTGCTGCAACTGCTGCACTTCCAGGAACCCCTCCTGCTGCTGAAGCCGCT